TGAAGGTCCCACAAGATTCAGGATTAAGACGATTAAATATTTAGGATTCAATACTCAAAACACAGGCTCGAGTACAAGGTTCAAAATTTCCCATCGAGGATTTACGGTTCATGGTTTAGAATTCATGGTTCAAGATATAGAGATTTATAAACCATTGTGATATCTTACCCTTCAACACCCAAGATTCACAGTTTAGAGTACGGGGACTAGATTAAGGGTTCAATAAACAAATTTCTAAAAGTTCAAATCCCAAACCTCAGCCGTCGAATTAACACTCAACGCACAAATCCCAAGAGGAATCATAATTCAGGGACTAAAAGGCTCTGGATAGACACAGGATTCAGGACTTGGTATTCAGAGTTTAAGTCTCTGGACACAAGATTTAGAATCCGCAACCCAAGGTTCAAGATTCCTGGATTGAAACTCATGACCCAATTCGACGGTTCAAGAGGATTCATGGGTTCATGACTAGGAATCTATGACTCAAGTTCATGAATATTTAGGATTGAAAATTAACAAGTCTGGATTCAGAATCCAGAATTCATTGTGCAATATACAATAAATGTGATCCAAGGTTTACAAAATTCACAAATTTGGACTCGGGGCTCAAAAATATAGATGGGACGCATGGACACTCCACAGGAAAGAAAGATATGTCCATCAGTTTTCAAAAACTAGTATGAGAACCTCGAGGACTGGGTGGCCCTTGTTGAAAAATGTCTTACCGGGGGATATGGAATACCCCCCAGCGTATACGAAGCCTTGATTTCCTTGAGGGCTGGGCGCCCTTGTTTTAAATGACTTTACAGGCTCATTGGAACTGATACTCTTCAAACTACCTAAACGTTTCTAGGAATTAATAAAGAATCTTGAAGGATTTTACAGGTCATAGAATCTTTATATGAAAGGCTTCTAAAAGGCTCTATGTGCGGTTTGTGTATTTTCGAGGCACTGTATAGAAAGCACTTGAACATTTTTTAACTCTGTTAAGGTTCTATAGTATAAATAATAACGCCGATTTAACGACCTTTAATGCTACCAAAGGCTATTACGGACTGGTAATACTTTCAATGGATCTAACGACCATGACAAATGCCTCATTATTAATGACCTTTAAATGCTTCCTAATTCATCTAAGTGATACATAGGAAACTTGCCTCTGAAAATGGATTTGAAGCCTTTAGAGAGTGTTAAAAATTCATAATGGCCTTTATACACGTTTTATTAATGAATATTAACGGCTCTAAATGTTTCCGAAACGATTAAAGGCTCCTAAAGACTCCCATAAGGCCCGAAAGACGTCTGTACCTTTGAAACTATAGGGGCTGTCTGACATAAATAAAGGCTTTTGGGGCTAGTCTTTTAAACAAGTTTCCAGACTATTAATAACAGTTAAAAACTCTTAGTGCGTCATAAATAATGTTCAGGAGTTTAATGAGACCTAAAAGGCTCTATGTGCCTCTGAAAAGGCATTTGAGACCTTTGGGGCTGCTAGAAATTAATAAAGATTTTTCAATACTAAGCTTTTAATAACATTTAGAGCAAGAAAGACCTTCGCAGCTGGATTTTTGAACGTGTTTAGAGACTATTAATGACATTAAAAGCTCCCAATCATAAATGTTATTAAGGGCTCTTAAGTCTTATAAGGCTACTATGAACACATCTGGGTTTCTCTAAAGACCTATAAAATCTGTTGGAGAGCCATGAAGACCTTCAAAAATACTTGAAAACTTACTGGCTAATAAAGATATTTGAACGTTGAGCTACTAAAGACCTTCAAAATTTATGAAAGAGTGTTCTTCAAGGAATTCCGAAAGACTGTATAGACCTTAGAAACCCTTGAAAGACCTTTGAAAATCAGAAATACAACAAAAGGCTCTAAAGGCTGTTAAAGACCCTTCTAGGTAATGAAAGGTTCTAAAGTCTCTGAAAATTGCTCAAAGGCTTGACTTTTGAAATAACATTTAGGTGTGGAGACTGTTGAAGACTATTAGAGATTTTGGAAGATGCCCTTAAATGTTCCATAGCCTTTGAAAAGAACCCTCTTAAATGCCATTAAAGACTAAATAACCAAATATACCAAGGTAATCGGATTTCAAAAGTTCTAAAGAGACTGCTTCAAAGCTCATGAAACAATTAACAAATTGCCCTAATGGATCTTAAGGCTCATAAAAGCTCTTCAAACCTGTTTAGAGCTCCTAATCCTTTGTATTTCCTGTCAAGCGACCCCACACTTAAAGATCGGTTAAAAGTCCTTTTCAGCCGTTGAGAACCTTGAAATCTTCCATTGAGGCCTCAGGAGTGTTAGAGTCTCTTAGAAAGTGTACAAAATGGGGACATTTTTTGGGTTTTCAAGAGACCCCACAAAAGTGTTACAGGCTCTCTAAAGCCCTCTATGGGAGATTTTCTTAGCATCTACCGATTTTCCAGCGCACTCTAAGACCTTCTATGTCCTTTACAGCAAACTTCGAGAAGGAAAAGAAAATTGACCACGGTTTGAAAAAGCTCATATAATTTTGGGCACCAGACGTGTACAAATCACGCCAAAAAGTAAATAAAAATATAAAATTAAAATTAAATCAGAATACGAGCTTTGTGAATCCTCGGGCACTAGTGGGTATAACCTTTATCTTGGTAATGAACAATCCAGATACCTACACAAATAATATTTAACTGCATAAAACAGCAACTAAATTTTGGAAAATACTTCTTGGTTAGAAATCGGCATTTCAGATCCAAAAATCCAAAAAATTGCACTTTTTTTAATGTAAACACAGCAGAATAATTTACAAATTACGGCTGCTATTATTTTTTAATGCATCGTGTTTCATTTGTTTAATTTTCCAAGGCTTACCTAAAAGTGTATGGTCCTTTTCCAAACAATCTTTCGCGCTATCGACAAATACCGGAAATACGTCAAATAAGATACAATGCATTTTTATTAATTAATTAATTAATCTCATTTTCCCAATATTTGAGGTTAGGAACGAGATTTTGAAAAACGGTTTTCACTGGCTTCTTTCGGTGTTATTTGGCTACTTTTTCATAAAGACAACTAGCCCCCTGGCGGAGAACGATTCAACTAAATTAACTATATTTTGGTTGATTCTTGTTGCCTAAGGAATGCTCTTTTCATCGATACCAAATTTGTTACAATCGATCAAACGATTAAGAAGTTAAAGCAGGTTATTGCAAAAACAATTGAACGCCCCACGCTTTGTTTTTGAAATAACTGAATTTTTGTTTTTACGAAAATGGTAGATAAACTGGTTCGCTTTAAAAATGTGAAAAAAGAATGTTTAGTTTATTATGCGAAATTTAAAGAAAATGCAATTTTAAAATTTAAGATGGCAGTTACGCCCTCTGGTGGTCATTTTTAGAACTTGAAAATATTTTCCAGTGATTCTTCATAACCGATTTACCCAATAATTTTTTTTACCCCTAAGTCATATGACTAACGGTTCCCGAGATATGGTTGAGGAACAGTCTTATTGGGTCACCCGGTACAAAGAAAAAACTACAATGCGACAAATTAGACCTAATTCCGATGAATTTAAACTGCTTACTCCATTGATGGGTTTCACATTACGAGAGAGATAAAACAAAGATAGATATGACAAAACCTACTTGATATAAAAATAACTTTACCTCTAGAGGAATACAGCGTTACTCCATTCGCGTAAAGACGCTTAGATAATTATATAGTTAAAACAATTTTAGCGTGATGACTCTGGAATTTTCCAATTCAAATCAACATTCTTCGGAAAAATACACGTATCATTACTACGACAAAAGCTTTAAAAGAGGTCATGTCAATGCAAATGGTACCAACTACTTCCAACACACTAAAAGCGCATTCAGTCAGTCAGTCAATTTAGCGTTTTCTTTCAAGTATTCAATAGTTTTGAAGAGCTTTAAGAACGTGCATCTGTTTCTTTATCTGTATCGTAGCTTTACGATATTTAAGAGGGTTTAAAGTTATTTGAAAATGTGCAGTTTTTACGGGATCGGCAGGCTTGGTTTCATACCCCCCTGACCCACCAATATCACTTTTTCCCGCAAAAATTTAGCCCGTCATGGCTCTCACAGCAGTTTTTGAGAAGAATATCAGATCTTATTCTCCAAGAAAGTATTGCAAAGAACGTAGATCCGGGGGGTCTGAAGGTATGAAATTTCCCCCCCACCCCTAGCAGTACTTTCAGTACAAGAAAACTAGACAAGTCCTCTTCATATAACCCTTTGTACTCTCGTAGAGATATTCAGGAAATGAGAATGGAATTATCGTATACGGATGAGGGGGGAGGGGGATTGGAATATCCCTCAGACCCCCCCGGTAAAAATTTAACTCCTCTCAGGGCTCTCTCGAAGTTTCTGGGGAGATTATCACATCTTCTTCTCCAAAGGAGTATTGCAGATAACGTAAGAGGGTATGGAATACCCCCCCCCCCCCCC